AAAAAAAAAAAAAAAAAAAACCTATATCGTTGCGTTCTTACAGATTTACCCAAATCCAAATCCACATGAAAAAAAAAAAAAAAAACGAAAAAAAAAAAAACAAATATCATTATGGGCTGAGTGTTCAGTAACGATTACAGCATGAAGAGGCAGAGGAGGAAGAGAAATGTAAAGCATCATGCATTCTGTCCTTACATAGGGACAAGAAAACAAACAGACATAAGGAATATTGTTGTAAGTGAAGAAAAAGATAGAAGTGTATGGCTAGATCCTTATCATTCTCTCGATAACTTCTTCCTGATATTTTCTCCCCTTCACTTTATAATAGTATTTCATTTCTTGTGGTACGATATGAGGGAGAAAAAAAAAACTGAAAAGAAAAGACAGAGTTTGCGCACGTAGTAGTAGTAATAGTAGTAGTACTAAGGGGGAGGAAACACAGTGTGGAAATGAGAGGTTGGTGAATAAAATATAGCACACTGCAGACTTTTTGACTATTCTTATTACTCGCTGGTAAATTGTTTTTGTTCTTACTTTTTTTTTTTTACCTTTGTTTTTTTCTTCCTTTTTTTCAATCTTCAGGAATCTTTCCCTTTTTGGAGTTTTTTTTTTTTTCGTTTTTATCTTTGTAAACATCTTTTGAAGCGATGAGAACGTCTTGGGGAAGACCTCCTCTTGGGTCTCTCATGTAAAGGGAGTTTTCATTTACCAATCTCTGTCTTTATCCAAGCTGTATCATCGCATTTGGGTGTTTATATGCACAGATTGACGCATTGACCCTCTAATATTAAGGGAACATGCGTGTATTTAGTTCATGTATATATATTTGCTTATGTCTCTGTTATTTTGTGTTAAATTTTTTTTTTTTCTTGCTTTTTTTTTTTTTTTTTTTTTTTTTTTTTTTATGATGTCTCTCCTTCTCTCTATCACATGCACAGGTGAATATTGCCGTGTGTCATACACAGCACCACTATATCAAGTCAACATCTTACCTCACTGGTAAGAGGTTGTAAAGGTAAGAAGAAAAAGCAAAAAAGAGAAAGAAGTAAAACGACGCGATAAAAATATCAGAAAAAAAAAAAAACGAAAATAAGAACGAAAAGGGCTGCAGGCAAGAAACTTCTGAAAAGAGATGACAGGAGATCTTGAGCGATCTAGACGCCTGTATCAAACCCTATTGTTGCCGGATTTTAGTGGCATTGATGAAGTCCGCCAGGCATATAAGTCGTTGGCTTTGAAGTATCACCCTGATAAAAATCTTCATGACCCGTCAGCAGCCGAGAAGTTTCGTCAGGTTCGCGTAGCATATGAAATACTCTCATGTGTGGAGCGAAAGCGCAAGTATGATTGTACGCTTCGCCTTTTTCAACCACTTGGCTCAAACTCCTTCGCACCAGGGGCAAGGTCTGTACCAACTGCCACAACAGAGGGTGGTATGTTCGCCTCCTCCCCAATAGGAAATGCAACAAGTTGTATTTATGAAGAACTCTTCAACTACGCGGCAAAAAAGGCCGAACGGCAACAACGACGTCCATCTCCAAGTTGTACCCCGCGTGGTGACCGTGCGTCGCAGTACACAAAGGAGCAGAAGGAATTTTTTAGGAAGCGAGAGAAGGAGCACCAAGCCGAGCTTCGCAGAAGATTGGAGCAGGAAAAACGTGAACAACGGGCAAAGGAGTTGGAGGCGCTACGTCGTGAACAGGAAAGACGCGAGGAGGCACTCCAACGCTCACAGCAGCGACGTGCACGTGCCACTGTCTCCTCTCGTGCCTATTCTTCCACAGGGATTCGACGTTCCTCGCCGTTTCCCCGCCCCGCTCCGGAGCAGCCACCGCCGCAGTCTGCTGATAAGAAGAAATTCGTGAAGAGCAATTCGGCACGTGAGATTCACATTGGCTCTAGTCTGCCGGAGACGGTGCGGGCGGTTCCATCGCCGCGGCATCGTCGTCCTTCACTCGACTTGGATGCGGAGCGGGCGGAACGTATCCGCCGTGAGAAGGAGCGACAGGCGGAGGTGCGGCGTAACGAGCAGGAGAAGTACTTGGAGCGTCTCATGCGACAGCGCATCCGCGAGGTGCGACTCCGCGAGCGGGAGGCGGAGGAAGAACAGCGGCGTGAACGTGATAACCAACAGCAACTACTCGCACTTGCAGAAAGAAGTGAGCGGGAACAGGTGATCGCCCCACAGGAACAACTCGAGCGGCGGCGGCTCTGGCGTGAGTGGCAACAGGAACTGCGAGGGCAAATAATGGCGATGCGCCGCGCTGGGCTTGCAGTCGCACATGAGGAGGCCCTCTGTCACCTTCGCAACAGTGAGGCAACAGAATTTGCACACTTAGAGCTACGATTCCGTGAAGGTATCGGACGTATAGGGTTCCTAGATCAGTATCGTCGTCTGTTGCGAGAGGTGGCGCTTGAGTTGCAAAAGATAAAGCAAAGGACGTTAATGAACGATGCTTTGGGTGATGGATGTGCTATTATCAGGCGTGAGGAGCATGCGGCTTGGAGTCTCTTAGACCTACTAGTAAATGAGTGGAGAAGTCGCTTAGCGTTGCAGCAGAATGAAGAGGATGAGATTTTCCAATTAATTAGGAAACGTGCAAACGAACGACAGTCGGTACACCTCTGTGAAGAGGAACGAGCACGAATCTCTGAGCGAGAAGCTAGTGCTGCTACTATTGCCCTTTTGCAAAAGGAAATTGAAGAATTAAAGCTCACATTGCAACCTTGTTGTTCTTCGGTAGTGTCTGATAAGGTACCAGATAAGGTTCCCACTCTCCCACAATTTCGAGCTGAATTTGTGACGGTTGATGGTATCACTACAGTGCCACAATATCCTGCAGACAACACTCAGAGTAATCATCAGGAAAGTCTTAGTCTTTCGGGAAATGGTACCTGTAATGGCAGCGGCGGCGGCAACAACGGTAACAGCGGTGGATTGCGTGCGTGGATAGAGAGTGCTTCCAGGCGTCTTCCTCGCCGAGGCACATCTCCTGGCGCGGCTGCACCATTACAACCACGTTGTCCAACATCATTATCATCATCATCAGCAGCAACGGTTCCTTTAACTGGAGTAGGGATTGGAGAACCTGGCGCATCAGATCGTACAGTGCTTTTAGAAGGCAAAGTTTCTACGAGTCCACCACCTGCGCAATATGACAGTGTTAGTGGCAATAGTACTGCTGGTCATGGATTTTCGAAAGTTAAACCGACACCTACAATGCCCTCACTTGATGTTTCTTTTAATTCTGGACAGTTACGTGTTGTTGCGACTGGGTCGGAGGCCCTGTTGGAGCACTCTTCTTTACATCGCAGCGAAAGTCATTGACCGCTGCACTGAAAAAAATGTGATAAATGGGTTGGACTTCACTCACTCCTACTGTGTGGATAGATACCGCTTACAGAAGGGTCGTTCACCCTCTGTAGACGGATGCACCCCATATTATTATTGTTTTTTTTTTTTTTTTCCATTCGTATGGATGGCTTTCTTTTTTTCTTGGTCTTATTAACCCCATATTATTATTTTTTTTTTTTTTTTTTTTTCTGCCATTCGCATTATATTTTAAGTTTGTGTAGAATATACTTGTTTTCTTACTATTGCGAAAGTAAGAAAAGAAGGTCTAGTCGTTGGCGACTAATTGTATATTTTTATTTGAAGGTGTGCCAACTTTTTTTTGTCGTGAAAAGAGAAAGAGAAGGGGATGGGGGTGGGTGAATTCTCTCTGATGTTCCTCATTTGCTGACTTACTCGATTAGCCAGCACATTCGGTGATAGTTAATTCTGGATAACTCACTCTCTCTATACATATTTATATATATAATATATATATATATATATATATATATATAATCCCATATTCATCTTCGTATATGGTTGCTCAGTTGTTCTTTGTTTACTTGTTTGGCTTGTTGTGTTTTCTATGTTTTTTTCATGACCTATCATATCCAAGAAAGAAAAAAAAAAAAAAGAATATTTGTAGAGAAACGGGTGCAACATTACAATCTGTTTTTTTTTTTTTTTTTTTTTTGTGAATGTACTTTTTGTACAACGTGTCAATCATAATTTAAGAAGAGGTAATGAGATCTCTTCATTCTGGGCTTTCTTTGTACTAGGTAATACAAGTTCAGGTGTATCGATATCATAGATGATAGTATGAGTAAGAATGACCTGATGGTGTATTTCACTGAAAAGCAATTTTCCCCCGTGGTTTATGCAGCTATCGTTGGAATGAAACTTCGTTCGAGTGATAAATCTTTCACCCTCTAATGACCACGTTTTCTTTTTTGCTACCACTACTATTACTATTACTACTAGTACTAGTACAGGTGGCGCTCCCATTTACGACTACAGCGATGGTCAAGGTTCCTCTCGGCATCGATCTTGATCTCAACCTAATGTATGCTGTTTTCAACTGCAGTTTTGTTGCGCACAGACACGACTGGTTGTTCAAATTGATACGAAATAAAAAAAAAGGACGGGAACGGGAAATCCCTTTTTTATTATATTCTGCTTAACAAGGTGGACTAACACGCTGATTGAAGAAGGTGGGGCATTTTTTCAGTGTCAACTTCTTTTCTTACTCCGCGTGACTGTGAGGAAGGAGAGGTGTTGAGATATTTGTGGTGGTTGTACGCAAGGCGTTTGAGTTATGAATAAAAGGATTTGATTGACAATGAGTTTTTCTTGTACTAAAACACGGCAAGATGCGCAGGGCCAGGAGTTAGTGATATACCATCGTGAAATGGAAGTATCAATTACTATTGGCCACTTTATACATTTATTTTTTTACCCTCTCCCTTGTACATATATTTATATATATTTATATATATATGTGTGTGAGTGCCACATGTAGGGATGAACAAGTGTAAAGGATATATATATATATATATACATGTAAAAGATGAAGGATAAAGTGAGATAAAATGGAAGAGAAAATGGCAGCAGAAAAGGGGATAAAAAAAAGTTGATCGTTTTTTTCTTTTTATTTTATTTATTTTAGTTTTTTTTTTTTTTTTTAATTCATCTTTTTTCCCCCCTAGAGGAGAAGGTACTTAAACTCCCTATAGTTTATATAGAAGCCCTTTCTTTGTTTGTAGTTATACGTATATATATATATATAGATATATATACAAGGGAAAAAGGAAATAATGGGTTACAGTTTTTCACGAGCACAGATGGAAGACTACAAGGAACTCGTCAAGAGTCGTTTCTCAGAAGAGGCAATCGAGTTCCTGTATATCAAGTTCCACAAGGCGGCGCCGGATGGACTCATGACTCCTATACAATTCAAGCGCTACATTGATAGTACCGGTGTATACAAGAATTATAAACGTACGCACCTCACTACTTCATCAGGTGGGTATAATAACAGTAACGGTGGTTACAATGATCATACGGCGTCAAGAATGACTTCTATACAAGTTGTGGATCAGGAGATGTATTTGCATCTTTTTCGTGGTTATGATCGTGATTGTGATGGTGTAATTTCCTTCCGAGAGTTCCTACTATATCATCTTGCTGTGATGTATAGTACAGAGGAGTTGTTTGTTGTTGTTTTTAACGCTTATGATGATGATCAAGACGGATATCTTTCTCATAATGATATATACAATACCATTACCGCTGCAACTCGTTATGTGGGTGACTGCGACGTTGAGGACCGTGAAGTGAAACGTGTTATCAATGAAGAGACACAACGTCTCATGTACTTTCTAGATGTGCGGAAAGACGGACGAATTCGAAGGGATGACATGCGTCTTATCACACAGAAACACCCTGAGGTGCTGGAGAAGATGAAGAATTTAATGTAGAATATTAGAGCGCAAAAGAGAAGAAATAAATAAAGGAAAAAAAAATTGTAGAAAGAGATCAAATAGAGGAAAAGGTTATATCATTCCCCAAGAATAAGTTGAGGTGTATTGTCTTTTTCATTGTTCTTTATTGTTGTTATTTTACTAATTGTTCCATACCCTCTCATTCTCCCTTCCCCCATATTATAGTTGCTGCTTGTATTAGAGGTAGTAATAATGCAATGCAGCGACTCAGCCATTGTCATGTTTTGGTATGAGTCTCTGAGTCAAGGTTAATTGTCTTGTTGATATATTGACATGTCCAGAGTAAAATACCTTACATATATTTATGTCTACATTTTCATATTTGTATTCATATATATATATATATATATAATTTATGCCTTTTCTTTTTTTCTCTTTTATTCGGTTCTTTTTTTTTTGCTTTACTTTTTTCGATATATGTATATATTTTTTTTTGGCCTTAGTTACACTTATAAAAAAAGTGGTCTATATTTGTTTTTATTCTAGGCGTGACTTTTACGGGTTGTATACGGTCACATCAATTATTCCAAACCAACGTTAATATTTCCACTTCCACAGTATGTACAAGTCATCAGGGATAAAGAGTAAACCGCACTTCACATTGCGTCATGGTGCGAACGGAGAGGAGTCCAAATCCACGGGTGATCAACAGCGGAAGTTGCGTGAAACCCTCACGTCAATGGAAGCAACTCCAAATACTATAAAAACAACAAATGTCGCAAGTTCGGTAAATGTTAATAGAGGGAAACACCGCCGCGTAGCGCGACAGTCGCATCAACAACATATGCGGCCATGGCATTCCTCATCGAAATATTTACTAAAACAATCCCGAACAATTTCCTCCAATGGTGATTCTTTTTCAAGCGACCCAACGGTTCCCAATAAACCTATTGGCTCCTTGTCACTTTCACAATCAAATGATAAAGTAGTAACATCACCAAAATGTCTTTGTGTTGACAACGAAGAGAATGGCAGAATTGCAGCAAATGTTAATCTAAATAGTAGTAAAAATGGATGCCCGACATGTCAATTATCCATGGCCGAAGCGGGGCTTTCCATTTCATTAAAAGAAGATAGTAGTCCTGCGAACCTCTCTTGTCGAGCTTCTTCTAAAAAGAAAGGAGTATTCCAAAGAGCTACACGAACAGGGAACAGACGTGAGGAAATTAACGAAAAACGTATACCAAAAGATACTAGCCTTTCGTTTTCTATGCTTGAAGAAGGAGCAATGAGGCTACTTCAATATGGTGATGGGAGGAAAAAGAAAAAGGTAACTAAAAAGAAGTTATTTTCACAAGATACAGCGCCAGTAACATGCTTGGAGAACCAATCTATTTCTAAAGAAAACGTATTGCTCGAGCCTGCTGAGGAGGAGAAGCACAAGGAAGGAAAACAAGAAGAAAAAGAAGATAAACGAAACCTTTTGCAGGATGTGGAAATATGCAAAGACGATAAACCTGAGGATGTCAGAGAAAAAAAAGAAGAAGAAAAAGAAGATCAAGAAGAAAAAGAAGAAGTACTAAATACAAATTCGCACATCAGTAATGTTTTTCATGAACCAGAAAACACACCACCAACGAAATGCGTAGTACCTGTTGTGACAGAAGAAAGAGAAACGGTAATATGTCCTCCATATATTACGCAAGAAAAATCTGTTGATAACTTAAAAAATATAGAACGTTGTTTTTTATCGTTGAGAGCTGGTAACAGTTGCCTCTCATCATCATCAGTACCATCACCGTCATTGTCTGCAAGAAGTACAAGAAATGCTCTCTTGCATTATGGGAGTCAGGGTTACAACTTTACACCAGAGATAAGTCCTGCCCTTTCTCGTCTTGTAGATGATCATGTTGTTGCGGCTTTGTCAGCAAGTGTTATGGAGATGATGCAGCACCGACGTGCGAATTTGCGCCGTCTAGCTGAATATCTTACAGAAGCTATTGCTCAGGTGGGACGCAGTAAAGGTGTTGAATATGGAGATGTGCGATATTATGTATTTGGAAGTGTTTCGATGTGTACAGTGTTGCCAGATGGCGATAATGATATGACAATTGAAGTTGATAGGCTTTTAAATCCTACTAAAGTGGGAGGGAAGCGAAAAAATCTTACTGACTCATCTGATATTGTTGCTGTAAACAGTTCAATTAGCCGAAGTGGTAATACTAGTAGTTGTAGTAGTTCTTGTGGTGATGCTGGTGATGGTGTTGGTGGTGGTAATAGTTGTTCTGCGGATATATCATCATATCAGGCGGCGGCGATAGCGAGTGGTGAACTTCTTTCGCAGGTAGCAGAATATTTGCGAGAACACAATTCTTTTGTCTATGTTGATGCGCTTATACTTGCCGAAGTGCGTGTTCTTAAGCTTCTTATGGATGGGGACAGCTACGACATTACGATGGGACAATTGGGTGGCGTTGATTGTGTTCGTTTTTTACATGAAATGGACATGATAATAGGATGTCAACATCTTTTAAAACGTACACTTCTTCTTTTAAAAGCATGGTGTTGTTATGAGGCTCATGTACTCAGTGGTCAGGGTGGATATATATCATCCTATGCAGCCACTATCATGCTTATTGCAATGATGAACACTGTTGAGTTTCTTGAAGACGTAGAAGAAGAGGAGGATGATAAGAAGAATGATAATCATGATGATAATAATGATAGAAGAAAGAATAAAGAGGATAAGGAAAAGGATGAGTACAAGGAAGTGGGAAATGCAAACGAAAAAAAGACGCATAATAACTCTGATGGTTGTAAGAAAACGGTGAGTGGCGATGAGGCTACCGAGCATCCCCGCCGTAGTAGTGTGAAAGAGATATCTGCTCTTCAACTTTTTGGTCGATTTCTCAAGTTCTTCAGTTACTTTGACTTTGAGCGGTACTGTGTGACGGTGTTCGGGCCGCTGCCGTGCGCGAGTGTGACGGGGGCGTCGCTCGATCTCACGCAACTCGAAGCGGACGACACGTTGGGCCTCACCGCCGCTGGGCAGGCCGCCATTGGCCACTGCGTCCGCCGACGTCGAACTCCGCTCGTGACGGTCAGTGGCGTGCGGCATATGCTCCACAGCGAACAGCAGCGACGGCAGGGGGTTGCGGCGGCTAATAATAATAATAATAATAATAATAATAATAATAATAATAATAATAATAATAATAGTGTAGGGAGAGGAGAGGGAGGACACGTTGGTCTTAACTACCGCGGTACTCCAGAGGAGGATGCTGCACTGTCGTGCCCAACCTGTAACACCAGTGGATTTCCCCTCCGGACAATGAATGTAATGGACCCGCTACGCTGGAGTGCTAGTGTTTGTCGTGGAGTCTGTCGAAATCATCTGCAGCGCATTCGTCGGGCGTTTCAGGAGGGATTGACATTATTTGATATGGCGTCTACACGACTCAACGATACTTTAACTTCATCCTCTGCACGGAGCAGTGGACGGAGTGAGGCCGGGGTAGAAAGTCTGACAAGTGCTTGTCAGGAAGGTGGAAGTGCAAACGGCTCTTTAGACGGAGAATTAATGCGAAATAACGAACTAAATTCTCTAAAGGGTAGTATTCTGCAAGGCCTGTTTGGACAAACACTTAGGGTACTGGGGGAATATCCCCCAGGTTCTGCATTCTTGCGCTCACAACCAAAACTGGCACAGTGTGAAAATTGCACGAAACCTTCCTTTCTTTGTGTACCCAACGCTCAGGAACTATGTGAGGCACAATTCACATTTGGTATACGTGAAGAGACCCCAAGTAGTAGAGATGAACGTGAAACCACTGGAAGGTATCGATTGCTTGGGCCTTTTTGTGATGAAAATAATTCCTCACACCCCTCTGCAGCTTCTCAACCACAACCATCACCACCGCAACAACAACAACAACAACAACAAATGGGTCTGTTGACATGTTCGGTTCCAATGGCAACGACATCATCATCACCATCATTAGGAGCACCTGTTCCATCTACAATTCCCTCCCTTTCCGACTCTTCACGTATTGGAAACAGTGTGGGTGGGGGACTAAGAGGAGGAGGATGGCTAGGGGCCGGCAGTCACTCCTGTGAAGGATTTCCTTTAAGCTCAATTGGAACACGGCATCATCTTGCGCGTGGGGTCCCACTAGTTCGAACCTGTCTAAAAGGTGGAAATGGGTTAAGAAGTCAACGTGGGGGTCCGGCTGTTGTCACAGCTAACAGTGGTTTTCTCTACCCTACTGATCCCAATTCTTTTTCGTACTATCCTGGTTACATGATGAATAGAGCGCCCCAGATGAACAGTAGAACATCAACCAAACGCAACAACACGGATGGAGTAGCACCAGGTTTTGCACAAACATCATCATCATCAACGGATATGTCTCTTAAGGGTCCTAGAAGTTCTCAGGTGCAGCAAAATTTTTGGAGTGTTGATCCAGTACTTCATTCCCCTTGTGATGCTACTAACGCCATGATGAACGGTGCCAATGGTGTGACTGTTGCCTCCAATTCGGTGTCACAGCAACAACCAGTAACGTATGCCTATGGATTTTGATTGAGTACTCTCTCTTTCTTTCTTTCTTTTTCGTTACGATATAATGCATATACAAGTAAACACATGAGGGACTAAGAAAGAAAAAAGACAAAGTTTGTGAGAATGAACATTTTGCTGCTGTTTTCCTCTGATTTGTAAAAGAATGTTTGGTGTTTTATTTGTGATTTGTGTTTGATATGTGAGGGAAAAAAAAAAATGTATACGTTTTCTATTGAGAGTGAAGAGATGATATACGTGTTTCTTTAGTTAAATGAGAACCTCTTTAAGCCATACGTGAAATGGCGTGTGAAGTTATATATCAAGGATACAGACAACGGCACACTTCGTGATATCCGTTTGTTATTGTTTTATTATTCCCTTTTGAGTGTTTTTTTCTTACTTCCGCATGTTTTTTTTTTTTCTTTTTCTCTCACTCTCTCCACTCTCCCCCTCTTAGAATGAATGACCTTTTTACGTGTATACAATTTGATGCAAATAGCGAAAGAGTTTCATTTATGAAAAATGAATCTTATTGGGAAAGTAAAGGGTTCACAGGAAATATTGTGTTTTATATTGTTCCTCTTTTCATTTATTTGAGAGAGGGGAGGAGGAAGTTTGTCTGCAGAAAATCTTGCTGTTTGCTTTTGTTTGTGCAACCATCTTTTTTTTTTATTTTCGTCGATTCATCACTTTTGTTGTTCTGTCTGTTTTACTAGCAGGAACTCTGGCCGCCCTTCTTTCTTTTAATGATTATCTATTTCGTCTTTTTTTTCGTTACAACTTTTTTTTGCCTTGGTCCTTTTGATGTGGCACTTCTCTTAGTTCTCATGAAAAAGATATGACCAGTATTTTGACAGTTTTTTTTTTGTATTTTTTTTTTTTCGCTTTCTATTATTATTATTATTATTATTATTATTATTATTATTATTATTATTATTAATTGTTCTTCTTCTTGTTATTATTATTGACTTTTTGTTGCCTGTGATTGTGATTGATTTTTTTTTAATTCTTTTTTTGGTTTTATGATGATATGAGGTAGATAGATGCCAGTGTCAGGGGAAGGCCTGGGCGACGACGACGACGACAACGGTGCTCCATCTGGCCCTCCATTTAATCCTCCTCTCAACATTCAGCGTGCACACAAAGTTCTTGAGTTGTTAGAAAAGCATAACTGTCGTTCCTTTATTGATGCTGGATGTTCCCGCGGGGATTTGCTACGTTTTCTACTTTTTTCTCAGTTACGTGAGCATTCTTTCTCTAATGTTGTGGCAATTGATATGAACGAAAACTTACTTAGAGAAGCTAGTCGCACTGCACCACCATCAGTCTCTTTTAGTTTGGTAGCGTTGCTACACCCTATGCAGGTGGACTTCATTCTGGGTGATCTCACAAGGCCACCAAAACTCTCATCTAATGGAAATAATACTAATGAACCGAAAACATTGGAATCAGACATATCATTTCCCTTAGTATCTTCACATTTTGACGCCATTATTTCTATTGAAGTTTTGGAGCACATAAATCCAGAAGATGTTCCAGTGTTTACCGAAGTTCTCTTCGCTCACCTCGCGGCAAAATGTGGAGCACGGATTATTATTATCACAACGCCCAATCGGGATCGTAATGTGACCAAAACTAAAGAGAGAAATAATGATGATTTGCAAGCCGATTCTATTCGTTCTTCAAATTCTTTTTGGGTATCTGGTGTACCATACCAAGTTAGGAACGCGGATCATAAATTTGAGATGAGTGCTACCCAGTTTAGACATTACTGCGATTATGTGGTAGAAGCCTACCGACCGTTTGTGACCTCATACAGAGTTTTTGGTGTAGGAGGTCATTTTACCCAAGGGGCTGTGTTTTTTACTAAATTATATCCATCTGATTCTCTCTCTCATACTGACATGAAACATCTTAACTTTCGTTCTGAAATACCTAAAAAATCTGTTTCTCGAAGTCGAAATTATTTAGGGCGACAACAAGGATTGTGTATTCCATCGGATTTGAATAATGACGCAATTAATATTTCTTGGGTCCACGATATCGATAGTCGAACCCGTTTATTTCCTTGGGATGCTATTTTTGGAGAACTGTCTGAGCAACCTGATAATTTTAAAACATTGCTGTACAGAACTCCATTTAACTACCGCTTACTCGTCTCAGTGAAGGTTCCTCATCTTTCTTTGTGGGAAAGGATTGAAGTTGTTGTGAGGGAAAGCTTTTCCGCCGCTGCATGTAAGATTGGAGGGAGTAACAGGAGGTATACCATCAAGTTAAGATTTGGTGATGTGGTAAAATCACATAATTACCGATTGATTGAACCATTTAATGCAAGTTTATGTGCATTAATTAGTACATTACTTGAACAAGAGAAACGGTATAAAAAAGAGGCAGAACGTAAGACATATCTTCTTTCAACACCTGTTGTATTTCAAGTTCGTATTGCTCGGGGTATCTATTCACTTCTTCATTGGTTTCTCCACAAACATTGGGGCAATGATAAACTATATATTTACCTTCAGAATGACAAATATGGTTCTGCAAAGGAGACACTATCTCAAGATGAAATTCTTATTATATTGTTTTTGGTTACTGCTGGTTTGCTGAAAGAGGTTATGGTAAATATTTCTTTTTGGCTGCAAGGAGCTTGCCGGATAAAGGATAGATCAGGGCGGAGCTTCACAGATTGTAAAGAGGAAAATACAAATGAAGAGCCAACAAACAAGATCAATGTATCTTCAGTTGATCATAAGTGGCTCAATCGTCTGGCCAACTCCCTTTCAGACTGTCAAATACCTGTGCATCCTTTTCTAGCCAATTAGAATTTTTTTTTTTTTTTGCCTTCTATATATTTTCAGATTGGGTCTTTTTTTTTATTATTATTATCTTTATTTCTTCTCTGCAAATGACTGTGCGGTCCGTCAAGGAGATTTCTCTACGTTTTTTTTTTTTTTTTCATGTGTTACTTATTTCTGTTTATCTTCATTTTTTTTTCTGTTTTTCACATGGATCTGTTTACCTGCATATATACACAAACGTGTCTGCATTTATAAGTTTAAGCTTGGGAAATGGGTGACAATATTGTAGCAAAGTCAAAGAAGGAAGAGACCGAGGAGGAACGTCGAGTTCGCAAGGAACGAGAGCGTGCAGAACGAAAAGCCAGAGAGCAAGCGGAGGCAAAGAAAGTTGTAACTGATGATCCTGAAAAAAAAGAAAGGAGACACAAGAGGGATGAGACCGAGGAGGAACGTCGAGTTCGCAAGGAACGAGAGCGTGCAGAACGAAAAGCGAGAGAACAAGCGGAGGCAGAGAAAGTTGTAACTGATGATCCTGAAAAAAAAGAAAGGAGACACAAGAGGGATGAGACGGAAGAGGAACGTCGAGTTCGAAAGGAACGAGAGCGTGCAGAACGAAAAGCGAGAGAACAAGTGGAGGCAGAGAAAGTTGTAACTGATGATCCTGAAAAAAAAGAAAGGAGACACAAGAGGGATGAGACTGAGGAGGAACGTCGAGTTCGAAAGGAACGAGAGCGTGCAGAACGAAAGGCGAGAGAGGAGGATGTTGCTGGAAGGGAACAACCACCACCACCACAACAACAACAACAACTACTACAACAACAGGAGCAGCAGCTCCCCAACGATAGTGATAGTAACATCAACAATGCCAGCAACAGTCAGTACAAGACGCATGGCGAACGTGGGTCCTCTGACGGCTACGAGGGTGTTGAGGAGGAGGAGTCAGCGGTGGTGTCTGGCGGACGGCGGGAGGATCTCGCGGCGGCGATGGACGCGGAGAACAACGCGATCCGGCGGGCCGCCGATGGGGCGCGGGAGGCGGCTCGCCGCGAGGAGAGCCGCCGGGCGGAAGCGGAGAGTGAACGGCTGGCGGCGGAGCGGCGGGAGCGACGGCGGCGGGAAAGGGAAGAGCGGCGGCGCGGTAAAGAGAACGGAGTCGCGGAAGCAGTCAGTGCGGTGGCAGGAACAAGTTCGCTTGGCGTCGCTGATTTGCAGCGTCAGGGGTATCGTAGTCAGTTTGAGAAGGACATGCAGCGAGCTACCGCACTACGGCGATTGGTGGATATGGATGATAACGCCGCCGTTCTAGTGGATATCCCACCACAATCGCAGTATGACTTGTACATTCGGAGTTTTGGAAAGATGGGCCGCAAACAGGCTGGTGTGCAGATCCCACCCGAGGAGGATCGTAACGATGCAGAAGTGCAGGTAGAGCGGGTACGGGTGCGGCATCGTGGGGCTCAAGTGCCTCGTGACCTGGGATTATATCCTGAACAATATATAGATCGTTCTACTTATTTTACAAAGGATGTGGATCATCTTGCTGTGGGAGATGCTGTAGATGAAAAAGATATTAATACTAATGAAGGTGCATTAACAGATACAACTGGAGCACAAATTGTTGATACTACCTTATTATTGAATTTTTTGGGCCGTGTTTTTCCTGTGATGCGGGCAGTTTTGGATGAAAATGAGGAGGATAGAGCTGGACCAGATGCTACAAAATCAAAAAGTGAAACACAGTTTTCAACATCTTATACAACCCTTTGCTTCCCTGGTACTCGAAATAGACCAGTCGTAAAGGTTGCCTTTAATCCCTGTACACCAATGTATGTAGCTGTATTATATGGACAAAAGATGGAGGAAGGTCCATCAAAGAGCCTAGATTTTTATTTATCAGTTATTTTATTATGGAATATATTTGATTCTTCAACACCAGAAAAAATACTTGTAAGTCCATCTCTTATTACCTGCATTTGTATGAGTCCAAGACGGCCGTATTTAGTGTATGGAGGGGCTGAAGATGGATCAATTTGTCTATGGGATTTACGTGAACCGGAGAGAAATCATACTGCAGCAGGACATTATGAACGTAATGCATTTCGACTTCCTTCATTTGCTACTTCATGGCTCTCTGGTAATCATACTACTTCTATAGTTACTGTGGCAGTCTCTGGATACAATGCTGTAGTGGGTCTTCGCAAAGATGAGACTGAACAGTTGGTTTCTCTTGATGCTTCAGGTAAGATACATTTTTGGTTTTTGAATGAAAAAGATCAATCAAAAGGTATAATTAGTGATACCGAAAATGGTTTACACATGTTTTCAACAGTACGTTTGTTTTTAGCAACATCTAAAAATGAGGATCATACCTCTTGCATGTCAGTAATGCAAGACGCATTTTCTCTTGATTTTGTTCCTACCGATACCTCTCACTACGTGGTTGCATGTGCTGAGGGAGTTCGTCACATTAGTCGATTTGGTAGTGTAGCAGCACCTTCTCTCTATGCCCCGTCTTCGCATTTTTTTGGTCGTCAGATCGCTGTCCCTTCTTGTGTACGATACAGTACTGTTGATAGTCGGATTCTCTTAGTAGGCTATGATGATGGTAGCTTACGTCTCTATTTGCAAACAGATGGTAGCCCACAGCTCTCTATCCCATTAGGTATTCATCGCATCACAGAGATTCGCTGTAGTGGGACAGACAAATGGCTTTTATGGGCTCTTGATGCTAGTGGTACATTGTATTTGATTGATTTGGCGAAAAAAGACAAGGAATTTCCAGTTTTTTCACAAACACTTTCTCAGCCAGAAACAGGTGTATGTACGTGTTTTGACATACCACCTGAAGGAAAAGCTGAGAGTCGTCTGATTGTGCTCGGGTTTGAGAAGGGTATAGTTCAGTTACACACTCTTAGTGAACGTACACATCCACCGAGTTCTGACAGGGATGAGCATTGGTTGTAATTAGAAGAATAAAGAAAGAAGAAACTGATTGTTATGGTGGGGATTATAGGAGTAAATGAAATACAGAGAAGGGACTGCATGTCCTTCACAGTGTCCCTATATTATAAATCTGTCTGATACTCAAAAAAAATATATATATATATATATATATATATATATATATAGAACAAGTGATTGAAGGAATACTCCTTCTTCTTGAGAAAAGGAAAAATCATATTAGCGGGCAGGGTTTAAAAAAAAAAAACAGAAGAGGGGAAAAAACAAGGGAAACTCTCACTGTTTTTGTATGATGATGCAATATATATATATTTTTTTTCTTTCTCATTTTGTTTTCTTTATTCTTTTCCTATCCAATCTCTCGCCCCTTCCTCCTCTTTCTTGTGTTGATCTCTGTTTGTGTCACTCATGCCTTTTTTCCTTTTTTTCTTTCTTTCTTTTTTTTTTTTTTTTTTGGTGCTACACATGCCTTCCTTCTCCTACAACCTAGATGTAGGATATTGGGTTCTTGATTGAATGTAGAGGGTAATGTTTTTTTTTTTTTTTATTATTTTTTTCACCATATTTCTCCCAATATGACGTGAAGAATCTGAGAGAGAAGGTGTACTATATTTAATATACACATCAATGAATATCCCATTATTTTCTCTTGTTTTTTTTTTTGTTTTCTTTCTATACTAGTCTCTCATTTTTTTTGTTATTATTATTATTATTATTATTTTTTTTTTTTTTATATTATTAAATTAACATATTTTTTTTTTTTTGTATTTTTACGTACTACTTCGCTGCGTATTGGATGCGTCGGTGTAATTATAGAGTCGGAGATAGTATACGTTTTACTCTCTGGAGTCGTTGCAACAGCCAATCTGCTGCAAATATGGATACAAAAAATGAAAAGTTTTCTTACCGTTCTAGATGGCTTTATGCATTTCCGTTTCGTACTAAACGGTTGGACGATTTTATACATTCAGGGGAAGATACTGTGGTTTCCATAGCGTACACATATCGCAATGATACCAAAAATATCACGGTGACTTTAATTCCACTGCAACATTTTGCTCATCCTCATTTCTTTCTCCAGGTGGATAACTTGTGTAGTCAACATCAATCGGTATTGATGGAAGGTCGAACACCTCTTACGGGTGCTCCCTACTCCACTATTGTTCCTTCTCGGGATGCTGAGCGTTCTGTGCGTCCTGCAGAGCACGAAGATGATGAAGGTTGGGAACCGCGTGAAATTGAACGTTTTTGGCAACCTTTTTCTTGGGGAGTTAAGGAATCTCCTAACTATACTGTTATTCATGCTGCAGATAAGTATGATTACGAGAAATTGCCGTTGTGGTGTTCTCTTCGGTTTAATATACCTCTTTTTGGAAGTTTTGGACGAGAAAAACACTGTTTAGACATGATTTACCCTTTAGCTGCAAATGGTTATAAATCCTTTGCTATTCCCTGGGGTGCAGCTCACATGCCAATCTTTAATGAGATGCTTCTCGAGAATGGTTTTGAGCAAGTTGGGATGTGTTCACTAGTGATATTTAATCGCATTGATGGAGACATAAGCGCAGGGGAATATGAAAGAATTTGTCGAATGCAAAAAAGACGACAACAAGTTGTTGAAATGGCTTCGTTACTGGTAGTATTTCTTGCACTGTTGCTGATGCGAGACGCAGTAACCATTGAGTATAAGTAAAGGGGAACTATCGACATTTTTTTTTTCTATCTGAGTGTTTCTCCTGGGAATATTTACTCCTCAGGGCGGATTTCTTTCTGCATTTATTTTTTATTTTTATTTTATTTTTATGCTTTGGAGAATTATTATTATTATTATTATTATTATTTTGCTCTACATTCACTAGAGAAACAAAAAAAAAAAAAAAAAAAGAGCTTCTCTAGGGTGAGGGATACAGTGACAGTGGAATAAAACTTTTTTTCTTTTTTTCTTCTTCCTTTTCTAAATTAATGAAAGACGTTAGAAGTACTTTACTTGCAGCAGCCGCATGGTAGTGCTGGAGTCCCCACACTTTACCGCCGAGAACAGTTATTTATCTTCATTGGAAAAGACAGAGAGTGGCCTGGATGTAAAGAACAATGACGGTGTGTCTCTTCACTGGTCTTTTTCGCCATCTGTAGAGGGCTCTGTAGGTAGCCTGGGATTTGGTGAAGAAGGATTAACTCAATCACCAAGCAGCGAAAAGGATGATTGTGATGAGGTGATCGACACAGCATCTCAATGCTTTGAATGCGGTGTAGTGCAAGAATCACAAGAAGCGAGAAGTGTCTTTGATGAAATACGTGATTTGCTGATATGTACCCCGTTAGATCAGCATCCTTTTTTTAACATGGACAAACAACGGTCACTTGTAGAGAGTGAACGATCACAGCGTCAATATGAGTTCTTTATTTCCATGGGACAACGGAACACACTTCCCCTAAATGAACAAAACATTTCCAGCAAGTCACTTCTCAACGAGGCACACCGTGTACATGTATCTCTTGTTCGTCGCCATAACAAAACATGCCAGGATAAAGGTCTTCCTATGAAGAATGAAAAGGAAATAAACCGTCAGTGGCGATGCATTGAGTCGGCTGTTGAGCGAGATCTATATATGGAGGGCACTGTGTTTGTACAACGTCGTCTGTCGTGTATGTGTATCTTTAACCCCGACAGTGATGAGCGGCCGTATTGGGACAGCGAGCACACACGTGAACAGCGGCTACAGCGACAGGGCAGAGTCCTCGAACGACTCGCGCAGCAGGCACAGCACGGCCAGGATCCGTTCTTTCTTCACTGAATGAATTCACACAGGGAAGTATGGGATAAATGCGCCTTATATAGGCGATAAAACGTCTATCATTATTATTGTTATTATTGTGACTCCCTCCCCCCCCCCC